CTCCCCTATCGGCCCTACTCTGTGCGTGACAGGGGGCAGCGCTCCAACCCCCTGATTGGCCCTGCTCTGTGCGTGACAGGGGGGAGCTCCCCAACCCCCTGATGGGCCCTGCTCTGTGCATGACAGGGGGCAGTGCCCAACCCCCTGATTGGCCCTGCTCTGTGCGTGACAGGGGGGAGCTCCCCAACCCCCTGATGGGCCCTGCTCTGTGCGTGACAGGGGGCAGCGCTCCAACCCCCTGATTGGCCCTGCTCTGTGCGTGACAGGGGGCAGCGCTCCAACCCCCTGATTGGCCCTGCTCTGTGCGTGACAGGGGGCAGCGCTCCAACCCCCTGATTGGCCCTGCTCTGTGCGTGACAGGGGGCAGCGCTCCAACCCCCTGATTGGCCCTGCTCTGTGCGTGACAGGGGGCAGCGCTCCAACCCCCTGATTGGCCCTGCTCTGTGCGTGACAGGGGGTGGCGCCGCAACCTCCCCATCGACCCTGCCTTGAGTGTGACAGGGGGCGGTGCCCCAACCCCCCAATCGGCCCTACCCTGAGTGTGACTGAGGGTGGCATCGCAACCTCATGATCCGCCCTGCTCTGTGCATGACAGGGGGCGGTGCCCCAACTCCCCAATCAGCCCTGCTCTGAGCCCGACCAGGGGCTGCACCTAGGGATTGGGCCTGCCCTCTGCCACCCAGGAGCAGGCCTAAGCCAGCAGGTCGTTATCTCCTGAGGGGTCCCAGACTGCGAGAGGGCACAGGCCGGGCTGAGGGACCCCCCCTACCCCCTGAGTGCACAAATTTTTGTGCACCGGGCCTCTAGTCTATATATATAAAAGCCTAAGCGACCGGCTGACCAAACAACCGGTCAATTGTTTACTATGACGACACACTGACCACCAGGGGGCAGACGCTCAATGCAGGAGCTGCCCCCTGGTGGTCAGTGCGCTCCCCCAGCCAACCTCCCTTGACCGGCCAACCTCCTGCGGTCCCTCCGCCAAGCCAGCCAGGCTGAGGGCCCCCACCCATGCACGAATTCGTGCACCGGTCCTCTAGTTCAGCAATAAAAGAAAATGAGTTATCATGCCACAAAAAAGACATGGAGAGTCCTTAATACATATAGCTAAGTCAAGGAATGCAATCCAAAAAGGCAAAACTACAGGGTGGGCAAAAGTAGGTATACAGTCGTAATACAAGTAAGTAATACAATAAACAATAAATAATACAAGAATAAACTGTGCTTTGTATACTCACAACTGTACCTACTTTTGCCAACCCCTATATAGAAACAGTAAAATGATCAGTGCTTGCCAGGAGTTTGAGAGGGGGGATGGATGAATAAGTGAAGCACAGGTGAATTTTTAGGGAAGTAAAACTATTCTGTATGATACTGTTATGGTAGATACATGAAATTATGCATTTGCCATAACCCAAAGAACTTTATAGCAAAAAGTGACTGCAGACTCCAACGTTCCCCACCTCTGAGTTGCAACTCTAAGCAACTATGTACTATGTTGCAAATGTAGTAGCTAAACAAAACCCCCGGAAACCAGCTTTTAGCCTTAATGCATGCAATTAAAAAAAATCATTTGGGAGGTAGGGGGATCCAGGAAAGAATGCAGACCGTGACAAGAGAATCTAACTGCAGTACAAATATATGGAACAACCTCATTGAAGGGAATGGGAGAAAAAGGTGCTAACCTAACTGACTTCGGAAATGAGTAGAGCCAGTAAGACTAAAGGGAAAGGAACCGCACGTAAGCACTGTAGTGTAGTTGATAAAGTCCCCCCCCCCGCCCATGAAGTATGGTCTAACAATTCAGATACGGCTATATGAGTATCCTGAAATTAAACAATTAAGTAACTAGATGGCTATGGTGGGATCCAGGTTTCTCACTGTTTGGAGTGAAATTTTACAAATAAGCAAGGGAGAAGGCTAGAATGAGCCATGTAGTAACGGATTAGAACTGGAGGCTACGGGATGTCCAAAAAATGTCTACACACTTTAACACCTGATAGCTCAATTTTGAAAATGAAATGCATTTTAATAAACACCGCCTTTATAATTATTCAAAGTGTGTGTGTATATATATATTTTTTTTTGGGGGGGGGACACCCTATATATGAATTCATGCTTAGCCTATGTAGATACAGATGGTTACATATAGAAATATTTGTAGATGCGTGAATCTGCATGGGCTGCTATTCACACACACATATCATTAACCCCCCTCTATCAGCTACGGGGGGTTGATGGAAAAGGTACCCTAATAATAGCACAGCTAGGAGTGAAAAGCTATGCTCCCCCAACTTGAGGGCAGAGTACATAAACTGAGCAGTGGCCACAGAGAGCAGCAGGGCTGGAGACAGGCTGGGCAGGAAAGCATCAGACAGCACTGCCACAGGGACAATGTTGGAGGGTTGGGAAGAGGAGTCAGGAATGGTCCCTGCCCGTCAGCAATGGTGCTGATGCTCTAAGAACCGGAGGAAAAAGCCAGCAGAAGCATACAGTGCTCTTCACCTCCATGAGCACTGGCTCATGTGACGGAACTTGGGTAGAAATGAAGACTTCTCTAAGCAGGCTTTCCTAAGTTGACGTTTGGCGCCTTCACTTCTCCCATCCCCGTGTGTTCTGAAGACACCAGGACGGGAGGGTTTAGCTCAGGGTGCCTCTGGAAAGCAGCCTGCGTGGAGGCCTGCAGCCAGGGCCGCGGTGGGGTGTGCAGGTATGTTGAGAATGAGCCGGTGCTAATGGAGGTGAAGAGCACTGTTTGCTGAGCACCCAGCCCCTTAGAAGTAGGTGGCTGCGTGCGGTCACTGGACCCACTGTTGAACAGGCCCCTTCATAGGCCAGAAAAGAGACTTTCTGGAAGGGTCTGCACATACACCTCAACGACTCCTCTGGTTCCTGGGCTGATCCCCTGAGCCCGGGGCCATGTCCCAGGCCTGAGTGTAGGAAATGGGAAGGGGGGATGCATTCACCTGGTCGGTCTTGGCATGGGACCCTGCTGAGTCAGGAAGCAGGGAGCAAGCAAATGCAAGAACCAAACTCTGAGCCTCAGGTTCCCCATCTTTATAAACAAGTCACTGGGCTTCACATGGTGGCCAAGGAAGCAAATGAGATAAGGTGTATTCAGGCACGTGGTAGACCAGCGGTTCCCAAAGTGTGGTCCGAGGACACCTGAGGGGTCCCCGAGACCCTACCCTCTGAAAGGGTCTAGGAGGGCTTCCCTTTTCCAACAAGTATCTGCATCTATGGGAGATCGGAATTTCCTTGTAAATTTCCCCCAGAACAGCTGATATGAGAATTGTCCTTTATTAAACCAAAGAGGTTTTAAAAATTTACTTTAAATATGTGTGTGTGTATAGTTATAGTTATTTATACATTAAAGATGTCATTTGTGCTAAAATGTAATGGGTTTGTTATTTTTAAATAAATACTTTTAACTCCTCATACAGTAAAAATCAAGATACGAGCAAAAGCTCTTAAGGGTCCTCAATAATTTTTCACGTGTAGAGGGGTCCTTAGACCGAGCAGTTTGGGAACCGCCTGCGGCGCACACCAGGGAAGGTGCTCCAGCTCCCGAGGTGAGCAGCTGGGGTGACGCCGGGACCCTTTACGGAACCTCCGCGCGTTCACCGCCCGCATTAGTGGGGAGGCTGGTTAGTTCTCCGGGGCTGACAGGCCGAACGTCTGCGCCCACGTTCCGGGTCTGCACCCACGTCCCACAGGAGGGCGAGCAGGGGCGACCTTGGCAGAC